TGTTTTTTTTCTTTTTTGCCAAATTTAATTCATTTAATTTTTCGAAAACAAATACTACTAGCTTCCATGAAGACAAACTTTTTTGGCTACTAGAAAGTATTTTTATTAACTTTTAAATGAGATATAGTGGACTAAATTCTCCTGTAAATATTTGTTGAGATATTAAATAAACAAACTGTATATAAGACATTTTCCTGCCTTTTGTTTGAGACCTACAAAGCAATGTACCTGTTTATCTAGACTCACAAAGTCAAAAAATCTATATAAATAATTAATGCAAAGAGTAAAAATTCTGAAAGTTTCGCAAATGGCTGGATAACAAATTGTCTTATATTCTTCGAGCTATTTATTTGCCACATATTTAACAGGGACATTTTCAGTTAAACGATTACCATTTCGGAAATTCAGCAATTCAAAGATTTTCTGAAAAATTTCCCAGAAAATCTCTGAACTATTTACTCCTGTTTCGAAAGTTCGGTCAAATGGAAAAGACCCCTTATTTCGGAACATGACACATATTTCCGTTGGAAGTCCGCGATGAAAGTTAAAAGAAACTCGAAATTAAAAAAAAAGTAAAAGAAAAAAAAAAAAAGGCATAGCAGTATGTGACACTTCACAACACCTCGCTGTTCATTGTACCGAGGATTTCGTTATATAGATGTTCGTTAATTCGAGGTTACTATTGTAGTACTATTTGAGTTGGAGAAGTTATTACCCTACATTAATAATTGTTGTCCCTTGTGTGGCAGATGGCAGATGCTGGTTATCACGTGTCATTTTGGGAAGTTGAAGGAGTATAGGAATCATGTAGGATCTGTTTCACTTCTTAAGCTTCTTTTTCTTTCTCGCAAATGAACTTAGCCTTAAAATCACAAGGTACGTCTAACCACACTTCTTCATATATAGTTACACAATCCTCCTCGACCTGGAAATTATTTGGCTCGTCAGTTCCCCAGTTCTCATACATGTACGCGTTCAATGGACTTCCGTCAGACCATTTCCAATGATTTTCCATGTCAACATCAGTCAGGCCAATCCAGTAGCCCCACGTGACACTCGAATCTGGAGCCAAGGTATTAATGAAGGAGCTTTCGTCGCTGGAATCAATCTTCACAAGCCGGGCATCCATGAAATTGCAAAATGTTTCCGCTTGTTCCCAGGACTTTAGGGTCGAGAAAACGGCATATTGAGAGGTTTCATATGGTGTCCAGTAAGAAGGGCATGCTGGTGAAATTACAAAGTGGTGTGTTGATTAGTGCATGCAAACTCAAATCTCCAGCCACCACATGGACGACGTTGGATTATATTCAAGAATGATTCGCTTCAGGCTCAGTGAACATTGGTGAATATTCACCGAGACGAAGTTGAGGTGAATAATTATTATAGTATAATGTTCAGAGGTGAATACAATAGACTACAAAATAGCGGACTAAAACATAAAAACACGTACAGACGCAATTGCTCGTGCATGCACGTATGCAACCGTAACTTTAATAATAAGCTTACATATACACTGATTGTCGATCAATTTACTCATCGACTTCGGCAGAAAAAACGAGCGAGTGAAACACTACGAAAAATAAATTCATCCGGTACCTTTGTTTTATCGTTGTTGACTTCATTCAGAGCTGTCATCATCGCCTAAAAATGAGTAGCTTTAGTTTGAAGAAAAATAAATTTCGGTCAATCAATCTGACCTGCTGGCTATCGACGCAACCACTGAGTTTACGATTCGTGAGAACCTTGAATACGAGTTCTTGAAAAAAAAATTGCTCTAAGGGCGACAGCAGTCATTTTGAAAATTCTCCATCCTTTTAAATATCCTGGACTTGGAGTGATGTCTTTCGAATAAATGAAAACTTTATTTAGTAACTGTCCGCAATGGACGAGATAGCAAAGATGGCAAGCCTAATAACCAAGGTCTAGCGGGGCGAATATAGCGTCATATGATGAGCTTTTCGACCAATCATAATGTCCAATTTTTATATTCACCTCTTGAAATTATACTAAAAGATAATGTCTATAGTTTACTTTTGCATTATATTATAAGGTCACCGTATACCTTCAAGTCGGCAATTTTCTTCAAATTTGGATTTTTCGTTCAAAGTAATGATCTCTCCCTAGAGCGCATTGCGAAACACAATGATTTTTTTTTTTTAGATTCACGCGAAAATTGCACCAGGAGGTTAACGGTAGTAAACGTCCCCTGTACTGATTGGCTTAATCATCTGAGAACCCAGTTGCAGGTGTTTGTGGGCGGAGTTTGTGAAGCAAGGAATGTTTGCTAACGCAGTTTTCGCGACCATTTTTTTTTTTTTTTTCGCTTAAAGCAGTCACTTTCAAGAGTTTTATTCCAAGGGAATTTGTTCGATTTCTCTTAAATTTAGACAGTACGCAGCTAGTTTACAGTATAAATGAAAAAAAATGTTAGGAAATCGTTAATTCATTTCGAAAAATGTTTTCTCTGAGGGGGAGTTTTGTACGATTACTCCACATTTTTTTAAATCCCATTTCGAAAATGCCCCGCTGATATGTTTACTGCAATTGAACATGGCAAAACGAAGACACATTGTTTTACCGCTTTGGGTGTTGAAACCAAGGAAAAAATTAAATTGCTGAAAAACAAAATTCGCTTTGACTTCTAGCTTTCAAAAGGTGATTCAGACGCTCGCATTCAGTGGTCCAAATTCTTGGTATAGTTTGATAGCCCGCTCTATAAGCTTTAATTTGGTAAAGGGGTTTAGGTATTTAAAGTTTAACCTTTATGCGTTACATCACATGGACGCGAGACACCTCTGAAGGTATACGGTAACCGTAATTGTTTTAAAATGATAGAGGAAACTAACATACCTAACTATCATTAGCTTACATAATTCTTGACAAGATTATATCACTATTGGAGAATTATATTATACAATTATATCACTTTTGGAAAACCAATATAGTCATTGAATATCTGGTAGATAAGCAATAATAGCTGCTAAACTTTTTTTCATTGTCCCAAATGAAATATCTCTAGTTTATATAATAATTGTTGAAACTAAAGGGGAGCAGGTTTTGGGCAGCAAACTCAGTTCAGAGAGTCATTTTATTATTATTATTATTATTATTATTATTATTATTATTATTATTATTATTATTATTATTTTCCTGCTTCCTTTGCTGCTGTTGTTTTTTTTGTTGCCGTTAATCCGTCCAACGTTAGATTGCTAACTGAATTAGCCAGAATTCACGTTCCAGGTGCTAACCAAACGTACTAAATCGTAAGCGGGCTGTTGCGTTGGGAAAATGTTGGGGTTATGTATTCTAATGCATATCCTTAAAGTCTATAGTAAATCGAGAACGAAAGTTTGTATTTTGTAATTTGGACTGTGCGGTGGCTGACACGAGAAGTTCTAAATATTTACTAGCCAGGGCTGTTGCCAGCCGATATCCTGTCACCAAGTATAGAATCAGTGGTTATTTCCACGTTATCATCTTTATTGTCTCATTTGCCCTCGTCAAACTACATCTTATATGAGACCACGGGCAAAGAAACCATCCACGTTTTGAACCTGCAAGCTTTCGTTACTTTCCATCAGGTCAGCGCAGAGAGGCCTGAAAGGAGCATCCGAATTACTCAAATACATGTCTACTGTACTTTGAAATATTTTTTATGCTCTAAGTAGGATATTGAATAGCGCGAACGATTGTTAAAGTTGGATGTAAATGCCTCACCCTTAGAACAACCATACACTTCCACTCTCATCGACACGTGATTTTTCCAAGCCACTGGACGGAAACGGATATATCGTGCCTTGATTGGTGGATTGAATTCATGATAAACAACAGAGTCCGGGTTAGTGTTCCCATCAAAAATCTAAACCAACAAGATGAGCAAATGTTATAGACAATTGTTATAAGAAATGTTATGAATCCACAAATGTTATGGCACAAAGTAACGTGGAAATGGCCCATTACACTTGCATTCAAACGATTACCCGTACTAATTAAAATAATTATTTATCACTATCCACCTCAGTGACAACGGCCGTCATCAGTACCATGTTTAATTGAAAGGGATTCAAGATAGAATTTAAAAGCTGTAGCATAAAGAGAATGATGATAAAAATAAGCCCTTAATAGCCCTTAAAACAAAAAGGCAATACAAAAAACGTTCTTGAAGTATGTATCTGGTGTTCTTTTGGCTACCCTATACTTTACCTTTATACTTTCCCCTTGCTCTCTGTAGTACTGAAAGTTCTTCTTATCGTCATTGTACTGTAGATTGTATTTAGTAACCCACTGGTGGCAACAACCATTTCTTCCTTGCGTTGCTACTGCTGTTATTACAAAGGACTCGCAGCCCAAATAAACCTGAAGCCACTGATTAGCATCATTCCTGACGGCTGACCAACCTCCTTTTAATGTTCCAGTGGCTTGGAAGTGTAGTCTGCCCTGCTTAGCGGCGTGGTTGGCGTCAAAATGGGAAGAAGCACTTATCTGTCCGTCACCGATTGTTCCGCTTTGCATCCCAAGAACTCCTTGACAATCTAATTTAGTGAACAGATTTGGTTACAAAGTTTCTTGTAACGCTTGAGTAATTCTCAATTGACTCTCTTAATTAATACCAAATCCAAGGAAATTATTAATCCGCCCAACTGCAGAGCAAATCAGGTGAGCGAATAGACAATCCAGTGATCCAATCCAATCAATCATGTACATACAGCTAAAACGAAACGCCGCAGAATGCGTGCTAGCATACGCGCCCAAGTCACGATTAGTTTGGCTTTTATCCCTGGCTGTACAAAGTGGCGCGAGAGTTTTGAGCCAATCGCTTAGCGTCATAACGCAAAACCAAAATATCGACACTCGAATGACCCCCCTCTAACAAAACTTTAAAGTAACAGAGATGTCCTCTGTGTTTTTCATACCACCCACCGCAGTCCAGAAAAAAGGAACCATCCGCTGAAAATGTTTAACCTCGTTCTTAAAATAAAGATTGTTGTTGTTGTTGTCGTTTTCCTATTTCCAGTTACTGTATTGTGCTTACGTTTAATAGTAGTTTCAAAGTGATGTCTTAAGTCATGGCAAGAAAAATAATCTCTTGGTTACGACAAAATGTATTTCATGAGAGCGCGTATTTCTAGTCGACCAATTTTTATTTCCAAAGTTGTTTGATTTTCCCATACTATATCCCCTGCTTGGGAGAATATTCTTTCTTTTTCTTTTTTTCTTTTTTTTTCAATTAAATAATGTTTTACATTTAAGGGCCCATTAAGGGATCTTTTCGAGCCGTTGCAAAGGAAAATTTATTTTCATATAACCTTGTCATTTTTAGTTAGTTCAGAGTTATTTCATGTGTTTTAACTTTTTCATGATTAGCAACAACAGCGATGACGTCATCAGGCCACGCCCTTGGTCATGTGACTAATACTGAAAAAACGCAAAGGCTCCCAGGCAAATTACTTAATCGGGATTTTTTCATAGATCTACTATTTCTATTTAAATCCTCATTACGCTATGCATAGATTTTGTGTCATTTCTAAAAGGTAAGATTTTTAGAGAATTTTAAAATATTAAAAAATTAGTAATTTTCTGAAGAAAGCATGATTTCGAATAAAGAATGCATAGCTATGTTTCCAACGTTGGCTTTAAACCAAATCCTTCAAAAAAGGGCTGGATTTAATGAAAACCCGCGTTTAGCATTTAAAGAAACCGGAAGTGCCCCCGATATATATTGGAAGTTACCTTATCAGCGTGTGCGCAATTTACACTACCAGCGCACTTCGGTAAGATCAAACAAAGTCACACGGAGTGTTTTTCTGTCTTTCTCTTATTTTGTCTTTGCTTGTACTTTTTTTACTTTGCATTTTGTGAAACACAAAGAGAAACATCTAAAATGTAAGCGAATTTGGAAGTTGTTGAGTTGTTTTTATTTTCCGCGCTCAGGCTAACGTAAGTAACCGGAAGTGAAATTTCACCTCCTTAGCAAAGCGCGCATAAATTGGTTAATGGGCCCTTAAACAAAAGATAAATTGACANCTCAGGCTAACGTAAGTAACCGGAAGTGAAATTTCACCTCCTTAGCAAAGCGCGCATAAATTGGTTAATGGGCCCTTAAACAAAAGATAAATTGACACATTCGTTCTCACAAAAAAAAAATAAATAAATAAATAAATAACGGTTTTGATACCTTTTGTACACTGTTTTTCACTGTATCGCCCGCGGCAGGCACACCTATATCCTCTTTCAGTGAAACCTACTTGACAGACTTCATACTTCGCATGGCAAGGGTTGCTATGGCAACAGTTCTGTAAAAATAAAAAAACCCACAATCATATATAGATTCAGTAAAGCCTAAAAGCAGAGCTCCTGATTACAATACTTAACCTAGCTTCAGCCTGCGATCCAATCGAAAGCCTATACCTGGATAGCGGTCAACTTAAAAAAAAAAACACAGGAGCCGAATCGAATCGATGGAATTCCGTCAGAGATCGAAATATTACTACAACCATACACACATACCTCGATGCCATGATATGTATAGCTTTTTCTGTTCGATAGCTGGGAGAGTGTTGGGCTTTCATCGGTGGCGTTGTTTAATTGGCATACGTGATTTCCTCCGTCATACGGTCCCACATTTACGGACACACAGTTTGGCTCCAAATAACATTCCACTCGACAGCTCCCCTCATCGGTCACTTTCTCAGTTCTTATTACGTGACCACTGAGTGCTTTGTCTGATGCCGGCTCTTTGAATATTATGATGCGGTCGTATTCATCTGTGAGCTCTTCAAAAGATAAGCACATTTATTTAGCTTCATTTAGTACTTTCATTTCGCTATACTTGACACATTCTTTTTTTTTAATCAATCGGAATTTTAAACTGTTCTGATGGTAAATTTTACTGTCCAGTCAGCAAAGCCGCCACCAGTGAGCGTAATATGTAGATTTTGCCTAGTCTAAAAGCACTAACTCCTATAAATTGCTAATCATGCACTCAACACCATAACCTTTCAAAGAAATTCACCAATAAGCATTTAGCCAAAGTGGCGTGGATGAATTGAAGACCAAATAAGGGAGAAAATCTCCATTAACATTATCTCCAAATCCCTACGTGTGAGTGTCAACTTATAGCAAATCCTGTTCGCTATTTTAAAAGGCACAAATTCTCAACAAAAGATGACCGAGTAAACGAAATGTTAAATAAAATTCGTTTAAGATTGATTATCACTCAAGATAAGGCCGAAAAAAGCATTTAGAAGTCGGAAACGTCTAAAATTGGGTGTTCAAGAAAGTTATTGATGCCAAAGGGTAATTTTAAAGTTATTTTTGCCGACGGCTTTGCAGTCATTTTAACGAGCAGTCCTCTACCAATAACCTTTAAAGAAATTCAGCAATAAGCATTTCACCACACTGACTGAATTAAACAAACAAAACGAGGAAATCTCAATGCATAACATAACGCAAAGCACGAAATGCGAGTATCAAATCCCGTTCGCAGTTAAAACATAAAAGATGGCCTAACGAAACAAATGTTACAGAAAATTTATTTGATGTTAATTCCTTATTTCTGTTTTGTGCGGTAATGGAAGAAAAAGAGGATTATGGAGTTTTTACAGTCTAGCTTGTTTACTAACATTTGCTGCTGGGTAATATTTACATTTTTTTTTTTTTTTCAATTAACCCACATGCAAACACGAACTGCTGCCCTCAATCTGCATGACGCGCAGATGAAAACAAAACAAATTAGAGACTGCACAAATTAAGAGAGCAGTTATAAAACCCTAATTTTGCTCTATTGATGTAGAGACTTTCAATGTTAACCCAGTGACCACAAATATTGTTTTGCTCAGTGTCATGGTCACTGAAATTATTCCGGTGACGTTGGCTGGGTCAGTTTTAGGTATAAGAAATATTTCATATTGCCAGTTGCCTCACTCTGCTAACCGCGCAAGAAATACTTCTAACCCAAAGGCTCTTTTGGTTTTGTTTATAATAAAATTATAGAGAATTTTTTTCCCCTGATATTTATGGTCCGGTTATAATTTATAGATATAATTTTCCAATGTAACTTGAGATTTCCTTCATTGTACATGAGTTCACCTGTTACTTCTACTGCCAACGTGTAGATTGCTGTCTTTTTATTTGTAACGAAATTGCTCAGTATCTACATTGTTGCTCGATCCCGAAAGATTATTCAAAGGAGTTTATTTTTAGTGGAAACTCTCCCTTTATTCTGTTTACTACAAACTTAAGTGGGTAGCTGCTGGTGCCATATTTGTATTCGAACAAACCCTTAGGTAAACAAGTTTAATGAAAGCAAATATCTGCTGTCATCCCTGATCCAAAGGGATAAAATACAGAACGGATATTAAAATCGTCCGGCCTTCTATATATATCTTCTGTTATTACTACTGCAAACGTTGCTTACCAAACTTTCAGCATTTTATACTGAAATGAATCCATTCCCTTTCGTTTGTTTTTGTTTTTGTTTTTGTTGTTTTTTAATTGTTATACAAAGACTCATCTGTGTTCTTATAAAAAGTTGACCAAATTCTAGACAATGTTATACGTAAATGAAAGAGAGATGTTCTCTATTATATATCTTTGTGAATTATTATTAGTATCATTATTATTATTATCATTGAAAGATCGGTCAAACAGCGTAATCCTCGAGAAAAAGCTGCACATAGAGGAAGATGGCTCGGAATCAATAAAAAAACAAAAAACAAAACAGCTTGAGTAACATTATTCAATTTAATTTATTTCGAAATAGTTCTTAGTTCTCACTTGATAGCAAGTTATGTCGCTTTTAATAATTGAGAATATTCAAAATACGCAAAAAGTGCCAGTTTTCTCGAAACCCTTCAAGTCGTCTTTCGATGCACCTTTCTCACTTTGATGACACTCAAAATGTTTGCTTGTCGTATCCGAATAACATGAATTTAAGAGCGGTCATTAACTCATACTTGAAGCAATGCTCATGCCAGCATTTGAAATAGGATATTTAGCTAATTTTTTAAAAGCGCAGAATGGAAAGTTGTGTTTTTTGGACCAGGAAATTGTATACTATTATTAAATATTTCGGACTAGATAAAATGTGTTATCATGTTGGGAGATTTCTTTCATCGTTAGTAACTGATGGCGAGCCTTCAACAAGCGTTATCAAAATAATTAAGAATAAAACTTCGACAAGAGTTATCAAAATAATTGAGAATAAAACTTACCAGCACACACACACACATCTGAACCTGGAAGTAATCCAAACGAAATCCACATCAGAAATATTAAGACCGTGATGGAGGCCATCCTTCTTTTGCAAATGGTTCAATATGCAAAGGTTTGCGGTAATTTTAATTTGTCAAAATCATCCACGCCCATTTTCTTCATTGTATAATTAATTTAATTTACTGATGTTTGAAGAAAATCACCTGGAACGAAAATACCCTTTTATGGCTTTGTCTCAATCGATCAGCTTGCTAACAGTAAGTTACCATAATAGAAAACAAAAAAGGCATATTGACGAATTTTAAAAGCAGTTGTTCTAGTTAACAGGTTTTTTGTTTTTGTTTTTGTTTTTGTTTTTGTTTTTGTTTTTGTTTTGTTTTGTTTTGTTTTTCATATAGAATTCTTAATATTAATATTGCTAAATCAACCATTTTAGGTGTCAAAGTTTATCTTAAGGGTGGTTCCCTACCACCGTTTGACTGCACATACGCTGATAACGAAAGCGTTAACAATTTGCACGCACCCAAATGAGAACGTAAGAGAACGTACGAAATTGCGAGACGTTCGCCGGGCTCCAATAATCAAAACTGACAATATATATTCTCGTGTTTTCCTAGTGAAATTCTGTGATATTAAGACTAGTTACAGCCTTTTGACTTCCATTGACCCTTTCCTTTTCAGCAATGTTTTTTTTTTTGAAACGTTTGAATACAGGGAAATATATCAATTCGCAAAAAACAAAGGAACTAAAAATTGTGATAGATTTCACCCACGGAAATACAAAACATCACAATTAATAATAACAGAAGCATATCACCTAGAAGCGTCTAAATTCTCCTTATATGTTCGGAACAATGCTGGGGTTTTTAGCCTACCAATCAGAACCACGGAATTTTTTGTCTAAATATGGAATCAACGGATTGAGGTAAGTTTGTTTAAATAATGGCGGCCTTTTGTAGAGTGGCTGCGGCTTCGACAAATTCTGGATCGGACCGGATCGGATCAGGGAACGGATCACTGATCGGATCACGGATTGGATCACGGATCGAATCGCAGATCGGATCGCGGATCGGATCGCGGATCAGATCGCGGACGGATCACGAATCGGATCGCGGAAAAAAAAATTATAGAAAGTGAAAAATTAAAATTCAAGATTCAAAATTAATGCGTGGTAATGCGTGGACCCGAAGTGAACTTGTAGTTTCCCGTCCTTGATAAACGACTTGTACTCTTTGGTAGACGCAATTACATCATTTGGCGGATCAGAAATTTCGCCTGGGACTCGAATGGCACAGTCGCAGCCATAGCATTTAAAGGCCTTAGTGTCCTTTAGCCATTTAAGTTTATACTTGCGGGTTGCGGAGCTCTTCGGCTCTTCTTTCAGCGGGGCCTGCGCTCCATTATGTCACGCAGACTTTATATTGGCTTGTCACGGAACACTTCTTATTTTCATTTAACATATTTTAGTTTTCCACTTTTTTATTCATTTATTATCTTATAAACAATTTGATATATATGTATATATTTTTTAACCTTTTTTTGTGATCCGACCCGTGATCCAATCCGCGATCCGGTCGGGGCGTTTTCAACATAAAGATGATTTTCAGACTTGTTTTGATACAAAACAAAATGCTTACCTGCAATTGATCATCTCTGGCCTTGATATTACAATAGCAGCTCCTGGAAAAAGCTCGTTTGATTCTCTTGATGAGCGCAGAAAAAGGTTGAGAAACGACAATCTACTCTCAACACGAAAGCAACAACTGTGTCCGCCATTGCTCTGGCAGAGACGAGATTTTGTGACGTACCAGTGTGCAGCACTCCATATTAGGAAGTAAATTTTGATTGGTTCGCTGAAAAACCCCAGCATTGGATCGGTGTTAATCGCTTCTAGGTGATATTCTTCTGATAATAATAATAATAGATTTATATAGTGATAAAATTACAAAATATTCTTAAGCGCTTTACAATGTAAGATTAAGATTACAGTAAAAATATAAGAAAAATGTGTCTAAAAAAATACAATTTACGAAGCATATTATAAAACTATGGCATGCTATACGCTAATTTAAAAAAAGTAAGTTTTTAACTTTGATTTAAAAACAGCTAGGGTTGGATTTATTTCACGAGGATGTTTGTTCCAGAAAAAAGGTCCAGAGTGTGCCAAGGCACGATCACCAAATGTCCTGTGCACGTGTTTGGTTCTGGGAACAGCGAGGAGGTTATGGTCTTGGGAGCGCAGGCGATAAGTTACGTTAGTCTTTATGTGTAAAAAGTCCTCTATATAGTCAAGTGCTTGATTATTAAGAGCTTTGTAAACAAGAAGTAACAGTTTAAACCGAACACGAACCAGGAAACCAGTGCAGGTCGTAGAAGGCAGAGGAAATGTGGTCAAATTTGGATAGGCCAACAGTTAGTCTAGCAGTGGCATTTAATACTTCTTGACGACGATCAGATTAACAAATTGACGTCTGTCCTCTTAATGATGATAAATTGCGGCATAACATTGTCAACTCTGCTGTGGAACCACGAGCCACAGGCGAGTGGTTCCGCAGTAAACTTTGACAATGTTATGGCGAAATTTATCATCAATAAGAGGACAGACGCATGAAATAAACTGATGTCAATTTGTTTTTTACAATAACAAGACCCCAAACTGGTCAAAGGGTCAGTTTGACAGCTGAAATTTGAACTTGAAAGCTTGCATAAATTAAAATTTTATCCGTCTGTACTCTTATTGATGATAAAAATGAGGCAATCAGCGCGCGACAAATTAGACAGTTATTGTAAAATTGGTAATTAGGGACACCAAAGAGAAGAGAATTGCAGTGGTCCAAGTGAGAAGAGACAAATGCATAGACAAGAGTTTTGGTAGTCTCAGGACTGAGGAATTCCCTTATTTGCTGAATTTTGTACAGACCACAGAATGCTTTACTGCAAATCCTGCCAATATGGACTGACATAGACATCGTAGTGGTAAACCAGGAGCCCGGATTGCGAACACTTTCTAGAGGTTGGATAATGGGGTCGCCAAGAGTAATGGGGTCAATTGAGATTTTGACAATTGATGGCTGGAGCCAATAATTAAAAACTCAGTCTTTGCGTCGTTGATTATAATGAACGGTTATGAATTAACCAAGCACGGACATCGGAAATACAGGCTTCCACAACCGCTAGAGCGTGATCTTGAGACAAAGTGCCGTCTGGTCTAAAAGAAAGGTAGAGTTGGGTATCATCGGCATATCCATGAGCAGAAGGAAGATTGCTGGCGATAACATGATATAGCCGTGAAACGTACAAAATAAACATCACTGGGCCCATGCAACTACCCTGTGGGACACCACGGTTCAGACTTAAATCATTTGAAAAATTGTTGCTGATATGAACACGTTGCTTTCGATCAGATAGATATGGATCAAACCAATCATGGGCGGAGTCAATTAGTCCAAAATTATTTTCAAGGACATCGAGAAGAATTTCGTAGTCGATGGTATCAAAAGCTGCACTCAGATCTAATAGCACTAGCTAGGAGCGTTACTTCCTGATGATCCATCGACATGAGAATATATATTGCTCTGAACTTTATTCAAGGCAGCTTCAGTTGAATGAAATCTCCGGAATCCTGATTGGAACTTTGGAAGAAGTTGAGAAACAACTGCTTTTTCAACAGTCTTCGAGATGAAAAATTATTAAAGCAAAATTTTAAAATGAAATTCTTAACAAAATTACAGTTCCCATTGAAACATCACGTTTCTTGAGTGATCATGTGCCCTAACAAACTTTTTGATAAATTTTGGTAAAGTTAACCCAGTTTGGAGTCCATCGCTCAAAACTTTCAAAGTTACAAGGGTTTAACGTCTGTCGAGTCATCAGCAGCCCCACCCTCCCTGTCTCTTTGCCACAACGTGATCAATACGCTTAATGCAGGCTTTAAGGTATTTTCTATTGTATTTTTACTTTATCTTTCGATGAGCAGGCGAGTGAACGAGAATACAGCTTTAGCTATCAACCTTCATGCGCTCTCTTTGACATTCCTTGGTTCTGCTTAATTTTCGGAAGAGATTTTGGCGTTGTTGATAGTCAGTTCTCAGTTCATGTCATCGCAGCTTTCCTTGAAATCGTAACTGCGGCAAGCGAAATTTGATTCACACCCGATTAAAACAACATACAGCAGATTTTATTGTGTAAAACGTGTACAAGAAGCTGATAAAACGTTTCTAAAAAGCTTGCTCTCCGTGGACTCATGTTACTAAGGTCTTAAGCATGATTACGTCAAGGTCTTAACAAAAGTTTCTACTCTACAACAATTTACAGTGCACTGTGTCTGCCTTGTTACTTGCGCTAGAGAAAACCAACCTAGCTATACACGCATAAATTCCGAAAAGTTTTTTGCTTTAGCATATACATGTGACTCTAGATTTGTGATTCAATGGAGAATAGCGGACGTGTGGTTTCACTGACTCAAAATACAACTACATAAGCAAACACAGCAGAGTCCAGTTAGCCCAAACATGAATTCACATTTATTGATACACTATAGCTTATTCGTTTACATTTACTCGTCCTTCATGCCAAATTATAGTATTACAATGTTTAAGCATAAAAGGAAACAACAATCTTAAAAGCAAAGAAAGTAAAGGACTGCCGGAGGCTTCTTGTGGGTCTGCATTGGAACGCTATTGGCTGTCAGTCAATTTTGCACCTATCAATTTTAACTGATGTTGTGTGTTCCTCAAAAAAATAAAAAAAGGAAGCAGTTGTCGGTTGACAGTTTAATTCTTGTTCAATTCTCAGCTATCAGCTTAACCCTATCACGAGCCACCATGTGGTGTAAATAGCCACTGCCGCGTACTAATTACTCGAAACGAGGTCTTGGTTATAGCGGCGCATCACTATAGAACAGTTTGTCAATTAAGCTAAGCAAAATAGACGCTCTTGGACATTTCAAAAGTGAAATCAACCGACTCTATAGAAACATTTCGTCACGCCTCCCCACGGCAATCTTGTAAAACAGTACATTGAATCTTTTAACTTAGAGGATTTAGCCCACTGCACTCTAGTTATTGTATACATCATGGCTAACGATTTTACCGTGCTTAAATAAATAAGCTGCTACCACTACTAATACTTCTAGTGGTAGTGCTATTACTAGTACACCTACTAGCACCCTTTACTGTATATCAGCTAATATAAGGCCCGAGGCCGAGACTAATTGTCCCCCGTTACTCTACGAGATCACCTGAAAACTAATCCGAATATTATTTCACGCCCAAATCAAGGCACTGGGCCAAGCAATTTTGATTTATTTTACGGCATGGATTTTATGAACGGCCGGACTTGAAAAAAAAAAAAGAAAAATGTTATAGGAAAATAGGTATCAACCTATACTGATGCGACCTGATTTTCACTAAACAACTGTCCAAAATAATTCATCCTTGGTTATGGAGAAACCTGCTCACAAATATATCCAAGCTGCGCATCACATTCTAGGTCATTCCACTCTCCGTTATAGCCGCTGAAGGTATACGACCATGAGTACCATCCGTTTTGCAATCTGATCTTCATGCTCCCCTTCACTATATGTCCACAAGTTTGATTACCCTTTTGGTTGTTTGGGTTACTACCTCGCCAGTTGGTGTAGTTTCCTAGGGGACCTCCATGCGTCCAGATCCACTCTCCCTCCTTCACCTGATCACTTAGACCGATCCAGTAAGTCACTGCAGATGCCGTGAGGAACGTCCTTGTAAGGAATTCGTTCTCCTCTGCGGATTGGATCTTTACCAGCTGCGCTCCTTGTCTTTTGCAATTGGCCTCCGCAGTGTTCCAAGCCTCTGGTCAGTGAATACTTTGTAACAAAAACCACAAAGTGATCCTCCACCTGGAATGAAATCTAAAGGAAGAAATTGAAATCATATATGTTTTTTTTGTTTTGTTTTGTTTTTTTGTTTTGTTTGTTTGTTTGTTTGTTTTTTTTACATTATCTGAACAGTTATCCGTCCATGAAGGGCACAGGCATGCTTACAATATTTGTCCATTGCTAAGGACGTTCTGTATGCTAGGCTTTAGATGTCAAAAACCTTTTCTGTGCGTTTTTATGAGAGATATTAAAGTTTTCATGTTCTAAGAGTTATGGGTAAATGTACCAGTCTCCATGTTTTTTTTGTTTTTTTTAATTATTATTATTATTTTTTTATTATTATTATTATTTTTTTTCTACCAAGAATTGTCTATATGTATGAAAAACAGTTCACCATTCAAAATGCTACCAAGCCTGTAGATAGAGATCGTTGCGTGTGTTTGCTGATATTTTCTCGTTGTCTAAAGGACATTACACAGACTCTCTGGAATCAAAGTGCACCAACTCAAAGAAAAGATGTTGGAAAGCCATGCTTGATATTTTATTCAATTTCGCGGTACGATTTTATTATATTGATAACCGCCCATATCTTCACGGATACACATACGTCAATACCTTCATTACATCGTTCGCCTCTATACCCCTCACGGCAGTCGCATCTATAACCTTTTTCTGTAAACCCCACATGGCAAAAGGCATATTTCCCCGGGCAAGGTCTGCAATGACAAGCATTCTGTTAAAGAAAAAAAAAAAACATATATAAAGTAAAATAATTACAGGGAAAAAAAGTGTTTTAAATTTTTTTTTCTAATTTTTAAAACCGAAATTTGGAAGAGCAGTCTGAGATCAATGAAATTAATAGCACTGCTAGCCCTTATGATCGTGCACATTGTCATATGAATGGTTTCGCGAGAAGACTTGTTTTGACACAGAGGCAATAGGCAGCGCTGAAAAGGCTTATTGCTTTTGTTCAAGTGAGATGAAGTGATGGGGTAAACGACAAGAGAGTTAACAGCCTATATGTCCCTTATTCAAAAGGTAATCCCTTAAAGGAACTTCGTCATGGCATTTTGAGTAATTTTAGCCAGGTACAAAAATTACCTTTCAATTCGAGGAAACCTAGAAAAAGAAGTTTACTAAGATAAAACAAAAAAACCACCAAAGAAATAATATGTACAAAAACATAAAGGAGAAAGGGTGGTCAAAGATGGAGAAGATTAACACGGATTACAAACAACGAACTTGAAACATTTAGGATAACCTTTTCAAGATGGGCAAACCATGACGTAGCTCCCTTAAGATTTATTTTTAGATAACTCTCGGATTCGAAAATCCCAAGAGGGTTTTGCCCACACTTTTGCTTAAGTGGACAGGCTAAGCAATAAGCGGCTAAATTGCACGCTTCGTCGTGATCCTCCTTGAACTAGTGCGAGCGTCAACAGGGCGGAGAGACTCGATCTTTCGAGTCCTGACAAAGGAAATCAATTTAGTCTCATCTAGTTATACCTCAACAGCATGGTAAGTATAAAGTTGTCTCTCCACCAACGAAAGATGAGATGGACATTTATCTGTGTCATTGTTGAACTCACAAATGTGATCCTTTGTCTAAGGGTCCCACTTGACTGACACCCAGTTTGGTTCCAAGTAACACTTCAGTCGGCAGCTTCCCTCATCGGGCACTTTCTCCGTTCTTATCAAGTGACCTTCCAGTGCTTTGTTTGAAAATGGCTCCTTGAATATTAAGATACGGTCATATTCTGTCTCGAACACTGCAGAAAATAAAGAGGTTGAGATACTTCACAGTGTACTTAATACGCATTTTCGTTTCAGTAGGAACGCATTTTTGCGTGTGTCTATGGCAACTATGTAAAACTAGTTTGAGCAAACCAATGTGATGTGTGCTTTTCTAAACCTTTCTCGACCAACTTTCAAGTGTCAATCACACACTTCATCAAAGTATACACCCCAAAGCAAAGTGTAACTCGCAAATGGATTGCCAAATGCGCGTGCGTATTTTGACTTCAGGAAGACTGAGTTCGATCGACATTTGGTTTATTCGTTGGCGGGTATACTTAAAATAATTCATCCTGATGTCCTTCTCTATTTAGGATTTATTTGTGGATCTTATCTATTTTCTTCAGGACAAATGCGCAGTAATCAGAGATTTCGATATCTGCATGTAATGGCCAAGATTCTTCCCACAGTACGGTAAAACATTTACCTGATAACTCGCGTAATCGAATGTGTATCTCCATCTCCAGTATCCACCGCCTCACTTGTGTGAATGAAATGTGCCAAACGTGGGCAGGTGTAAAAACAATTTCCAACGAAAGGTTACTAATTGAAACAACAAAACCTTGCTTGCGTGCAAGATTAAGATTAAGATTCTTTTGAATTCTCAACTCAAAAACGAGGTTATTCAGACTAATTTAACACTTACAAAAGAATTTATAATTGACAGCCATTAATGAAAAGGGTGTATAAGACCTTTTGCCTTTTTTTTTCCTTGTTGCCTCTAGAGTATTTTCTAAGATGCTTAGGCATTATATTATTCTCTCTTTACAACTGCAATCAAATATGGCAAAGGCTCATTTCTTTCAATATACTGCCGTTTGTATGCTGCCCCTAGGGGAAATTTGCTTTCTGTTGCTGCTCGTATTGCCTCTGACGTGCAATGGGTGATTTTTTTCCGACTCTCAGAAAGTGGATTTTTTTTAAATTAGGCTTTCCTCGTTTATCATTTATCAAACGAAGAAAATTATAAAAACTAAAAAGTTCAAACGCGTTTTTTCTTTTCCTCAATCTACAAAATATTTACTTGTTGAGGTATACCTGCCGTCCTTGCATAAATTATTTGTTTAATGTAGATTATAGCTCCCTAGGTGAGCCCTTAGAGATCTTGAGGCAATCGCGCGTGTATTATTTTATGTTAAAATAAAATATAAAAATTGACACTCGATGACTGGTCCCGAGAAGAACAGTGATCTCGAGATCAAATGATTTGTTATATAGCAAAACAAAACCTAGGCAAATTGTTGAAAACGCGTTGAGATTCCAGCGACAACATCAGGCCACCTTCAGCTACACGCTCTGATCGCGTGCAACAGCGGTCAACATTTCGCGGGTAACAATGAACTTTTTTCGCGTTTGACGCCATAGTTTTTGCAATGCTGCTAGCTCGTGGCACCTGGTGTTAAACAGTTTCATTGTTAGATGTCATGTGACCATAAACTACCCAATGAATGGGCGCGCTGTAGCGGGAAAAACGCGAGCTATATAACAATATTACAGATGGCGCGCGTAGCTTAGTTATCTGAACTCAAACTCACACGATCACAAGATTTTCTTTTCAAGCAAAGATACTTTTCTTATTTTTATTTGGTACGGGAAAGAAAGAAAAAGAAGATTATGGAATTCATACAGTCCAGCTTGCTCACTAACGTTTGTTGTTGTTCATATTTATATTCACACTAATTATTAAAACACAAGTAGGTACGAGCTGCCACCGCCAGTCGGCATGAGGTGCAGACGAAAACAAACGAACAAACAAAAAACAAATTAAAAAGTTCCACAGATTTAAAGGGAACACTTGTGATGCCCTGTACCATGTTTTTCTAGCTATTTCAGAGAATTAACTATTAGCCCAATCAATAAAAGTT